ATAATAAATTTATTTTTAAACCTTAATATTATAGTATATATAATCCTAAAAGTATAGTTTAAAATAACAGTCATAAGATTTAATATTATTAATAAGCTTTTTAATTTATTTTATAAAATATGATGTATCAGAAGTGATGATACGACCTATACTTTTATTTAATAATCAAATTAATTTTGCAAATCGCAATAAATCAGGTCACTCACAAATGTTTTTAAAATAGCATTTTTTCAATATGTTTTTTAGTCATATGTAATTTGACATCACAAACAACTTTACTTAGAGCATAAATGACGATTTGGTTAGTATCAAAGACCACTTACCTTAGTATCGATTTTTTAATTCGTCAGAATTCCTTTTAAATTTTTTTTGTGCAATACTTGGTGATATTTTGTGATCCAGTGATCAGGATTGGATGATTTAATCACCATTCGATTCGTCTTGAAGAGACGAATCGAATAGTATAAAAATTACTTGATTCTGATCGTTGGACCATGAGATAGTCCAAATTCGTCACAATATCCCCTTCGTCAACATATCCCCTTTTACCTAAAGCGAGATATAATTAATGATATTGATGCATATAATTAATTTATTTACGGAAAATTCTTAAAATTTATTTGTTAACTTATAGTGTTTGAAATTAATGAAATACATATAATTAATAAGGTACATGTAGGCTGAATGTAATAAAAACTTGAATTAAGCATATACCATATTCTGAATTATTTACTCTTGAAAGAGCTAGTTAGAATAAATAGATAATATTTTGGAATAACAATGTAATATAAAATTTTACAGTACATCTTTTAATGTATATACTATAAATAAAAGTGTGATTTTGAATTTCATTCAAAAGATTGACAAATCAATCAATAATACAAAAAAAATATTCAAATAAACCATTTGGTTATATTTCCTGGTTATAAAAATATTTATTGCTCTTCAGAATCGAATAAATCTTCGATTGGTTTATCCCAAACAAATCCAGATGCATTCCTATGACCGCCACCACCAAATGCTTTTGCAACTTGAGAAACATCAGCTTTTTCATTTGTGCTTCTTAAGCTGACATTATACCGTTTTAAGGTTCCATCATAACTAAATACCATGCCGAAATCGGATCCATCAATGTTCGCAAGAGAATTTCCGAGATCAGATTGCCATAGTGGTGCATTTGTAACGAATACAGTATAGTTTTTGATTTGAGGTTTTTTATCATCATCAATTATGTTTACAGTCATTTTGCGTTTAAACATATCTTTATCTTTTATGAAAGAAACACGATTCTGAACGTAATTAAGGATAATAGTTCCAGATTCTATTGCTTTTTCAATCAAGCTCTATTTTCATGAACAAATGTTTTAATGTCAAATATATATATTAAATAGGTCTTCTTTTCTGTTATAACGTAAGGTGAGTCTATTTTGTGTATAACAACTGTTATACGACCCACGTTTACTATGAAAAAAAGAGAAACTTATTTACCTCATCTTTGACGTATTGGTCATAAAGCTCAAATTGAAAGGGAATGGTCACCCAAAAAGCAGAAAACTCTCGAGACTTTGGCAATGAAAATCTCCATAAATCCTTAGAAAAAAATTCATTCATTATTTTGGTTTATAATTATCTTTTAATTATTTTTAGTTTGCATACTTTGTCCTCAATATATCGAATCAGTAATGGAACTTCTTTATCTGGCCAGAAGAATTCCCATGCCAACCTAGCACCACTTTTATTCATGTCAAAGAAATAATTCTTTGTATCCTCATCTTCACTCAATAAATCATCTCTGGCGGATTTATGATGATCCACAACTGCTATTATTTTTGCTTGTTTTTTAAGTTCTTTGAGAGTAGTTTTTGGGTAACTAAAATCGAATATTCCAATCCGCTTGTCCTGAATATCCTGAGGCGGCGGTGTACTATGTTGTGCCGCATGATATACTGCGTTATTTCCCAATCGTTTCCATGCTGAATACGCCGCGCCAAATCCATCGGCTTATTAAAAGATGTTATTTGTTAAATTTTTTAACGAAGGAGATGAAAATTTTGAACTCATTTGAGTATTTTCAAATGAAATAAAAGATTTTCATTTGTAGCTCTCATTTTATGCAAAAACACTTACAACAGTCTTTATGATATATAATACAATCTAAGGTTCCGGGGTCAATATGAGGCAAAATTTTAGACATACTTCTCTTTTGTTAATAAAAAAAATATGTGTAGCCTTTATTCTCTGTCACTAAAAGCACAGACTTATCACTTATTGTATAATAATTTTCGTTATATACCTTTATCACTGGCCTGAAGAATCGCATCTCGTGTTTTTTTAATTAGGTTACTCAGAATAGCCAATCAAAAACGGATAGGGTCATCGACCTGGTCCAGCTCTCGCATGATATGAATAGTGTCATTTTTGACACATTAAATAAAATTCGATAAAATGTGAATCAATAACAATACACCCTGAGTGGTGGTACTTTAAATAAAATTCAGATACTCTAATTGGTGGAATTATGTTAAAATTATAAAATCCGCTAGGGTAGGACTTGTTTTTGGCGAGGGGTGAACTAGTTTTTAACTAGTCCTGAACCAGACTTTTCAGGGACTGAACCAGACGCACCACTTAACGACTATCTCAGATTTTTATATTTCGTATATTAGTATATTAAAGAATGCATTGCATAATTGTCTAAGTATTCAAAAAACATAATCTGCGTATAAGTAGTGTAATTATGGGCTTAAGTGTAATTTTACGAATTTAATAATATTGTACGTATTATAAAGGCAGTTTTAATGATTAATGGCTTTTTTTACATAGGATTATCAAGCTTGGATGATTTTCAAAGCTTCAAAGGCCTAAATAGAGAAATTGATGTGAGAATAAATATAAATTTAAGAATATTTAGATAGAAAAATAAAAACCTTTAGATCCAATTCAAGTAGATTATAACTACTGTATTATCATTATAAAAAGAATGTAAGAATAAAAAAAGAGTTGGCTAAGGATTTTTTTTCTATTTGAAGTGGCAATCTTGCCTGTGTGTCTTTATTAAGTAACATATGATTACATATTTTTTATATACAATAGTCTATCAATGAAAGTACAACTAGCTACACGTATAACTTTAGTCATTATCTAATTAAAGGTTCTGCCTATAGGTTACTCACTAGATGCCATACCTGAGACCCATCTGTGAGTTCCTTATTTTTATTTTTATTTTATTAAGGTGACCTCTTGGATCTTTTGACTTTATTTAACAGTGATAAATGTGATTCAGTAAACTACTATAGGAAGAGCATACAATTGATTACATGTGTAACTTTTTTATATTACCTATTTAAGAAGTCTGTCTGAAGGTTTTTCACCAATTATCATACCTAACACTCTTGCTTGGGTATTTTACTTTAAATTCTTTGAATTTGTAAACCTGTTAACTTCATTGGGTCATACCTGATGCTCAGATTATCATCTAAATTTTAAAACTATTTTATCTTCAAGATAAATTCCTCAGAGTCTTTTGTACTCATTTTTACAACTGATCTAGATATTATTATAACAGAACCAATACTTGTAATCAGGGTTTAACTATTAAATTATTATGTTTTTGTAAAGTTCACTTAGATCTCAACATCTACTTTACAGTATAACCCTAGTACTTTAGTATATCTTTGTTTTTTTACTTACCTTTTTACCAAATTTCCAATTCAGATAATCTGTATAGGACTACAACCAGTCTATTAATATATCAGATTAATCCAATATTCTTTTTCTTTAGTTTATTCTAATAGCCTAGTTGGTGGTACTTTCAAGACTTTCAATCCAGAGGTTCTTGTCCATTCAGCTAATATGACCAAATACTATGATCTTGATATTTATTATCTCAGACTAGTTTTTACAGTAGGGTCATCAAAGATTCAGCTATCTCTCTATTTAGGTCTTTCCAAATAGACTTCTTGTTATCCAATTTTAACAGATTTATATAATCACAAGAACTTATCTAGTGTTTATATTGTCTAATTGTCAATTTGCATTCCTTCATATAATCACAGACTTGTTTCAAAGAACAATGTTATATAACTTACATGAATATTCTATAACCTGTCAGTTATACTGATATGACTACCATTATAGATATTCTAATCTAATTATTAGTAACAATTACTATAACATGAATATTATATAGGTGATTATCTAAATTTTTATCATCAATAGGATTTGAACATCCAACCTACTACTTGAAGGTTGATAACCTGACTACTTCACTAGGTTATCACACCTCTTAAGTCTCCTATTTAAACTTTCTGATTTTTAACATATATTATATATATATACAATATCTATATTATCATTATATGATATATTAGATTAGAATTATCTTAGTTATTATTTATATCAAAGTATCACTCTATTGGATGTTACTAAGTATTTATATTTCTTCGAATTTACTCTTAATACAAGCTTACTAAGCTGGTACTAAGATTACTATTTAGATCCAATTTAGTATATCCTATATCTACTAAACTAGTTTTAATGTTAGAAGTGTTTAAATTTTATTAAGTTCATTTTTTTCATAGTTTTTTTTATGTTCACTATATCACCTACTAGTGCACCTTCTCTCCATTTCTGATATGTTCATTGCTTTTCTCATATTAAGTATCAATTTTTTATATTAAGAAACTTTTTTCTAGAAACTTCTTTATATACTGATCTTTTATTCACATAAACTTAACCACAAGGCTTCATGTACATTTATATGCTTTTGTAAATTACAGAGTTTTTACCTTCAACTAAAATTGAACTGTTAATCTTATTTGTAGAAAAAGGAGTATCTAGACTACTAGGTTATGAAACTCTATCTTATTGGCTAAAAATTTTTATATTGATAGTTAAAAATTGTTTTGTAAATTTCACAAACATGTTGTAAATCATACAAAAAAATTTATATTAGATATATATCTAAAATCTGATAAGTATAAAAATAATATTACTAAAGTTAAAAATTTAAAATTAATCTATTAAACAATTGTTAATACAATTAGTATTAGTTTAAACAAATATAAACAAATTAATATAGTATTAGTAAATGCATTTACCAAAACTAATATTACTTTTAAGAAAATTAACAAGTTTTTTTTTTTGTTTTTGTTAAGATTAATGTTAATAATAGTTAATTTTTTTTTTTACTTAGATAGTCACACTGTTGGTTTTTTTATTAAGAAAATATTAACACTATTGCTAATACTACATACTTAATTTTGAAGTTTCAGCTTTCTTGACTGCTTCTAAAAATACCTAACAGGCAAGGGACATTTCTACTTACAGGGGTTCAAAATGTTTTAATTATAGGTCAAATGACTTGATGTATCTTAATTTATATGTAAATTTATGAAAAAAATTTATTTAATCTTGATTTACTTAAAAAAATAAAAAGAAAGTTTTTTT